TACTAGGGATTGCATAGAGGGAGATCTAGTCAGTAGTCTCCATTTTGATCATTGGCTTAAAGCTCAATGCCATTGTGCTTGCTTTCTTGGCCCAATTACCAATCGTTATGACTTTATTCCACAATTGGGCTTGATGGGCCCCATCATTTTCATTCACTCCGACCAGCTTATTTGGTCTGGTGACAGGCCCCGTTGCCTTCATTAGTCAAAATAGGGAAAGGGGGAAAGGAGGGATAAGAACTTACTCCCAAGGGAACCTCATCTGGCCCAACCATATGAGGTGCATGATGAGGATTAACTGGTAATGCGCTAGTAGTACTTAAATTAGAACGGACCTAAGATTAGATGCTTGTCATGAGCGAACAAAGTTTCAACTGAGTGACAATGGGTTCCATCCATTTGTCCATTGCTTCACTCCCACTCTCCAAGCTTTTTGATTTCTTTCATAAGCCTTGACATTTGGATGTTTAGTTGTTGTAAGTTTGCATCTTCATGGAGAACTCAAATCTTACAGAGCCTTTGTTGGAGATAGCAGGGCAGTGAAGTTTGCTACACAATCGAGGCCTAGGTGTCACATTCATTTGAATATAAACTGTGGCTCGATTGATTTGAAAACACGAGAAGACCTTCAGGTTGAAGTTACGCTCGGTACAATTTAACTGGCAAGTGTTCCGTCAATTGGAAGAAGTTGAACTAGATCATGATGTGAAGATAGAGCATCAAGGACATTCTCATTAGGCAAGCCTTCAGTTGTTGAGGTAAAGATGAGTTATATTAGAATTTGAAGTTGAAAGTATCGACAATTACTTTAGGGGGGTTTGTAAAGGTTTGAAGTTTGGGCTTAAGCCGCTAGTACACAACCCCAACCCTGCTGAAAAGAAAATTCGTCGCCTACAAAGTTTTCAGAGGCCCAGTGTCGAAGATAAATCGAATCGACAGCGCTCGGCCTCCGAAAAGGGCCCACGACCGATAGCTGGTTGTATTGGTGGTTTAAAGTTTTCTCCGAACTTTTATTGAATTAGATGCCAAGAAGGGAGCGACTTCGACAAGATCCAACGAATTGTAGAACGAGCCTCGTCATTTGCAAGAATGTGTACAATACGAATCCTTTATTCTCGATTTGCAATTCTCTCCTTTCGATGATTGCCAACAATTACAACTTCTATTATATTTTTCATATATATCTCACCCTCCGAATATTTTTGCAATTGAGTTAATTGCCATGGCATTTTTTAAGATAGGCTTGAGATGGGTCGTGTTCCACTCTATATGATGTTAGACCACCCACTCAAATGAATTACTCCTTTTGCCAGGTAAGTCCTACAAAAAAACGAACCACTTTAGACAGAAACGCTTTGAAATCAGCAATTGTCAAAGTATCTTCAGCAACTCGAATTTCCAATTTAAATCAGATGTGAAGGGGTGTTAGTAGGTCGTTGAGAATATGTCATCCCGTGAAGCTATGTAGACATTTCATGTAAAAAATTGACAACGCCGGTGAGCATCTAACCATGTGACTAATCAGACAGGTTTCGTTTTTGTCGAACCTTCTATACAATGAGCACTTTGCCATGCTAGTCTTTTCTTTGTGGTATGGCTTGGAGTCTACGTTCCTCACCTGTGTTCATTGTCTTCAAAGGATGGGGATGCCTCACTCCCCCCATCTTCCCCCCTTCCTCCCACTGTGCCTGTGTGTGGCATGCACGTGCGCTCATTGAGTGAGAGAGAGAGACCATCTACGTGTTTCCACGCATGTGTGCGTTCGTGTGTGTGTGTGTGTGTGTTGGGCTCCTGACGTGCACACGCAACACCTGCTTGTGCAGGTGTGTGTGTTCTGACGTTGGCGTGTGTAGGTATAGTGACGAGCGAAAGAAAAAGAATAAAAGAAAAAAAGCAAAAATAAAGCTGAAAGTAGTATTGAGGCTTTGTACGTTTCATCTGACCGCTTTGTCAGGCTTCAAACCATATTCGGCAGGTCGAAATTGGTTAGTCACACGCCGAAGTGCTCAAGCGCTTTGTCTAACCTTCTACATGACATGTCTATAGTGCTTGAGGTGATGACACATTTTCCTTGACCTGCTAATAAAATCGGCTTGCATCTTCTCTAAATTGGAAACTGAAGCTGCTCAATATGCTTTGAAAATTGACAAAGTGGAAATAGTTTTGCTTAAACAGCGTCATATTTGATCAAATTCGCCTAATCGAAGGAAAGAGTATTAATCGAGAGAACACTTTCTATATTAGCGGCGCTGCTCACACTCGGGTACATATGACGGAGTGGGTGGGTTTGGGATTAACACTTGCAGAGGTTCAATAGTGCAAAGCCAGCCTTTGTCAAATCTCAAGCGAGGCACCTGATAAATGAGCAGGTAAATCTGACACACACCACCTGCATTGACCTCTCTTTATAGTAAAGATCTTGAAAATGTCTAGGAAGCAAGGCAAATGAATATATGTGGGCCACTGAGAATTGTGAACCGTGAGAAGTGAACTTTGAATAATGAGAGTGTGGAAGAATGGTGAATCGTCACTCTCGTCTTCGAGTTGAACTTTGAAGATCTCGTCGTTGACGATGAAGTCGTTAGTATTGATCTTTTACACTCCTTTTCTTCCCCCCTGATGCAAAGAATTGAATGTGTTGGTATGAAACATTTTATAGTCACAGCACAAGACAGTGTCAGGTCCAACTCCATTATCAGTTGCGTACGGGGGGCAGGTGTGGAAGGGTATGTTGTTGTGTGACCATTTGCGGTTGCAGTCCTTGACTGGTCCTTTTTGTTATGAAGTGACTATTACCATCCTCATGTTTAACTTGGGACTGCTGTCGGACAATATTTGACACATTTTTATACCTCGGTTGGCAGAGATAACACTAATTATTGGAAGCTTAGTACATGACCCTTGTGTAGAGCAATAGTCCTTGCCTGTCGAAGGGGAGGTGTTGCTTGACTCTTGTGTCATTTAGGTGGGTATCGAGAGTATTCTACAGCCTAGGGACCGAGGTAACTCGACACTAGGGTTGCAAATTCTGCTTAGGTAGGTGCCTAGCAGCAGTAGCGATTGGAGCCAATCAGGGATCAATGCTTTGTGCTTGGGGCAAGGGTTAAGTGTTCCAGGCTCAGGTTTAACAAGCTCTTGTAGGGGTGAGTCAAGGTCAGAAAGTTCCTTCCACCTTAGGGGCAAAGGAGCTTGAGATACTCGTACGTGTAAGACCGGCTAAAAAAAAAAGATTAGGAAAGGGGAGCTGAAAAAGTTACAAGGCAAAGAAATGTATAAAGTCACTATAGGTGGAGGGCGGGATGATTAAGGATTGTACAACACTAATGGAGAAGTAGAGGGAGTGGGCATTGAGAGAATTGCAGAATTGGTAGGTCAAGAAGGATTATCAAAGCTGCGAGGACTCTTTGCAAGAGGATGAGCGGTGTGTAAAAGCATAATCTTCACACCCTTTAATGGAGAGTTTGGTGCGAGGTGTACGCAACCACCTGGTAACTCAAAGGTTGGTTCTAGATGTGGTTAAATGCCAACCAAAGGAAGTGGCAATGTCATGTTAGGTCACTCTTAGAACAATGATTGTCCCACTAACCACCATTGTGATGGCCGTTCCTCTTTGCATTGTTTGGTGTTATTGTGGAGGTGCAAATGACAACACCCCCATTGTCTAGTATTGCATGGAGTGTACCTCCAGTGTTCATTTCTGGTTCGTGAATGTTACTTCTCCCGATCTCAGTATTTGTTATTTCTACCTTGTTTCGGCCTTGTCGACTCCATCTACCCCTTGGAAAATGACAACTATGGATGAGAGGGGAGGCTCTTGTTGTCCGAGTAGGAAGAGGGAACTTGTGTAGTTGGATGGCCGTAGTAGGAAACCTTCATAGAGATAAAAATAATCCCCACCGACTTCAAGTAGAGCTGGCAACGTTGTGCAAGCTTTGTAGGGGAATTGGAGCTGAAAGAAGGTGCAACTACTCGACGGAAGTAGGGTCACAGGTAGCCTGCCATATGCCTATAGAGAAGTGGCTTTATAAGGAAGGGGTAAAGTTCACAATAGAGGATGGCAAGGAGTTGCTGCCATTGTCGGTATAGAGGATGGCAAGGAGTTGCTGCCATTGTCGGTATAGAGGATGGCAAGGAGTTGCTGCCATGGCAAGGGGTAAAGTTGGTTTAATAGCCATCTTGAGAGGGTCAAGGTACGGGCTATGGACACCGTCTTCATCCACACTAGTGAAGGAACCAACGGAGTACTGTCACTTGAAAAACGAATTATGGGAGACAAAATGCAAGAGGATGACTTGCATAGGATGTGGGAGTGTCCCATTAAGGAATGTTGCCCGTAAAATAGAGGGAATAAAGGGTGCGGCCTCTACATAATCTTGGGAGGAAGGAAGGATAGTACCAACTGGTCTAAATGTAGGCACACCAACCTCGTAGGTCATCGTGGCTATGGTTGCCAACCCTGAGGTTACTCGCTAGTTATTGTTCGACCACAAAATTCTTTGCTCTCGAGACGTGATTGATTCCCCCTCATCCTCTTATGAGGGTAGAATAGGAGGCTTGAAGTACATCTTCTCTTGTTCATGTCAATTTGATGCCTAGGGAACCTAGAGGAGGTGTAAGTAAAGGGATATAGCATAGTGATATGCCTAGAGGACAGTGTCGTGGAGTCCAAGGAGTTTTGCTGACTGCGCAAGGACATTGTTGAGCTAGTTGTAGTGGCCAAGTAATCCGGTTAGACCTCGCCACCTCGAGATGGTTTTGAGGCAGGCCTGAAATTGGTAAGGTACTGCAAACAATGCGGTTAAAATTGTGAATGTATAACTAGCCACTTGTTTGAGGTCGACACATTGGGAATAGTCCGAACAGTGTCCTCATTTTTCGTCTAATTTGTGTTGACGCCTTGAGATCATTCCACTAACAATTGGTTGTGTTCTCACTGATTTGAATGGATAGGTAGCCCTAGTGAGATGTTGTGCTGATCCGAGAGAAGAATGATGGTTTAGAGGAGAAGAACAACTGGATCAAGGCAAGTGGAAGTGGAATGAAAGGATGTTTAGGGGACTTCAAGTCGGAGGAGGTGGGAATGCGAGAACCCTAGGTCCTTCCAGTAGACGGTTGTGTGTCCTCTTGTGAGGGGTAGAACAGGAGGCACGAGTGTATCTTCTCTGGTGTGTGTTGATTTGACTCTAGGGAGATAAAGGAATCTTTGCCAAGAGTCCTCTCCCTTAGAGATTCGCAAGTGGAGGGATATAATATAATATATAATATATAACATAAAGATAGGACCGAGCAATTGGGCCCCAAAGTGAAAGAGTTGTTACATATCCTTTGCGGAGCTCAAGGAACTCGCTCTTAAACCACCAGTACCTCCTGAAAGTAGGCCCGATTCAGCCAAGTGGAAACGCTGCGATTTCCACTCTTGGCTGGCCGTTAACGCGGAGCTCTTTCAGGAGGTACTGGTGGTTTAAGCGGTCAAGTGATTGGGTTGCGTCTCATAATGGTTCTGAGGTAGGCATGGGACTGGTGGGATACTGCAGCATATCATTTTACTGGTCTTTGTGATTGAGATTGGCATGCTGTTAATAGTGTCCCTTTTGGTTCTGCAGCATGACCTAGTGTAATATAGGGTAGACTCGATAGAGTAGATTATAGAGGAGGTGGCCACTTCCTTCTTCCCCCCCAAGTACAACGTACAGTCATTATAACTATATTTGGAGTATCTTTCAGTCCATATACAACTATTATGACCGTACGTTGTATTCGGGGGAAGAAGGTCGGGCTGGCACAAAGACCAGGGAGGCCAGGGAACTGCTGTTATTGGTGTAGTTGAATATTGGAGGCGTGGGACAGTAACTTTCATCATTAAAGATATTTTTGCTCGTATGGTCATTGCTTTGTCGATTGTGCTTATTGTCGTGTTGCCGTGTGCATGTTGGCCAAGTGAGGGTGCGTGGTGCATTTGATCCAAGTTTCTCCGAAGGAGGTTACCTATGATAATGTAGATGGATAAGATTCCTGGTGAGTTAGGCAGGAGTAAATATGTGATGTAGGTTTTTGATATGTGTGTCGGAGCCGTAATTGGCGGTAAGCATAAGGCTGGAAAGTTTCTTTGTGAGGAAGAAAGTTGCATTAGATGGACTGCAGAAGAGCGCAAAGTAGATTGGTACATGAGATAATTATGTATTCTCAGTACATTACATCAATGTGAGACTATCAGGTTAAATATAGAAGATGAGGCCTGCCGCAACGATTCGCCGATAAAAAATCAGGGAGTGGGTACAAACAGGTGAGGAGGGGATGGTAGACAATGTTGTGTTTGGCATGTGTATCATGCAGCATTTGCGGTGACCTATTTGTCAACAGCTACATGTGGGTACCATTGAAGATTTGAGCTCATCAATTTTCTCCCAGACCGCCTAATGTCACAGAAGATCCAATTGCCACTCTTAACAAATTATCTTATGATAGACATTATTCTTGGGAGTAAGATACCTAAGCGACTGATCAATTGTATGTCTCCTTCTGAACTTGAAAAATTCTAGAAGCAATTGCGAGGGCTTACAAAAAGAGGGCGGATTAAATTATGGTCTTATTTGTATGGTGTTTCTGTTTTATTCCTTCATAGGTGTGAATTCGATACGTGTGAAAACTGCAGAACCACGTAGATCATTTGCAAGGTTCCAAGTACCTCTATGAGATCTATTTCGACTGCCATCAGACTGAGGTAGCACCCGAAGATGATGTGACACTGCTTCTAGGACAAGATGTGGGCACTAATCTAGTGTGCTGCCCTTTTGATTGACAAACAAATGCACCAGCAAAACTTTCAATGGCCTTTTTATAGAATGGTGAGATCAATTCGACGTAATCTACCTTGACAAAAACCTCGTTTTCAGCATAAGGTTTGATGAATGTCAGGAACATCTAGGAATCAGTCTCGAGTTTACGAAATCCGAAGTTTTGTGTGGAAGACGTGTGGTCAGTGAAGATGGTTTGCGGGCAGATGAGAAAGAAATTGTTGCAATTAGAGGCTGGCACTGCCTCGCAGATGAAAAATTTTAATAGACTTAAAATCTTCCCCTGCAAGCTACTACCAGAAGTTGGTAAGCAACTTCTCCATCATAGTTGCTTTTCCTTGGAAACTTCTTAAGAAAGAGCCAGTATGGTTTTGGGACTAGGATTGTGAGTTTGTACTCGATAAATTAAAGTATGTTTTGACTCACTATCTTGTTATGAAGATTTGAGACCCAACCGTACCCGCCAGTATGGTTTTGGGACTAGGATTGTGAGTTTGTATTCAAGAAACTCACTACCTTGTTATGAAGATTTGAGACCCAACCGTACCCTTTAGTGTTACGACTGATGTAAGTCAATATATGATTAGCTTGAGAACAGTCGAAAGGGATGAAGTCAGTCCGATCGTGTTCATGCTCGCGTCCCGCCAAGCGTGACAGTCGAAGAGGTGAGAGACGTTCATATGGTCAACAACATCATCATTCACGAGCGTACACCTAAGATTTGACAGTCAAACGATGAGAGCGGACACATAGATACATAGTTCACACACACACACAGCTCACACATAGTCACACATAGATAGAGATGACAACGCCCTTCGTTCCTTCCGAAAAACAGCTGCAGAAGCAGCGTGACATGAAGCTCTAGACAAAAAGCGGTCTGATCGTACAAGGCATCCTCACCTAGCGATGCACTGTAAAGTTCAGAGACCGTGATGAGAATTGCGGTGTCCGACTCCTTGCATCCTGGCGTGCTTGCCCAATGGTGTAGTGCAAAATGATGAGAATGGATACAGACCTGTTAAATTCATCTCCAGAAGAATCCCTTCAACTGAGAGTTTTTTGCACAGTCTGAAGCCTTGCAAAAACTTTCAGACCTGGAAATACCACTTGTTAGACAGGCATTTCAAGGTCTAGTCTGGTTGGAAACACCATAGTCTGAAGCCTTGCAAACTTTCATAGTCCGACAAGTTGCCTAGTCCGTACATCTGACTTCTCTAGAGGAACAGTAACTTAGGGATATGAAAAGAACTCAAGAAAAAGTTGATGCAAGTCTTGAACAGATTTGGTCAAAGGATAATGTCAATTCGCCAAAGGAACCGGGAGCAAGCTGCATATTTGAAGATGATTCATGGCTTGCTGTTTCGCACCCGTAAAAAAGGGAAGAATGAATCTGCATCCGGAAAGACCGCTTGCCAGCGAAGTGTAACAGATTGTATGGTCTGGGAGGGGAAAATATGTTATGGTCTGGGAGGGGAAAATATGTTATGGTCTGGAATGGGAAAAGATGTTATAGTTTACATTAGGACATGTTTTGTTTTTCAAATGAATAAGCATTCCCATCAAAAACCATCTCTGTAGACTTAATAAAACTTTCAAAGAGCTGAATTTACAATAGTCAACTGATGGTTTAGACAGGTTCTCTGAGTACTCAAAGTTCATTCCCGTACCTTAAAAAAATGGTAGAAGCTGATTGAACTCTGTCGCACTGAACTTACTATGTCTTCAGGAAGACTTCGTGAAAGAACTGATCAGATTGATCAGATGAACCACCTGTACCTGTAACTTCTTCGAGTGTGTGGAAGACCTGATCAGATTGATTGGGAGAACTGTCCAAAAATTGCTAAAGACTGAACCCTAGTAGGATAGAGGAAAGTGGAATTTCTAGTGTAGAGAACATTCATAGATATTAGAAGGAACATCAAAAGTGAAGGCAGTTTTCTGTGTCTCTACTGATGCTGAGGTGCGAAAGCATGGGGAGCAAACAGCATTGGATAGATCCGGCCGGACTCTTAACAAAACACGGCTAAAGGTGTCCCCTCTGAAGTTGGAATCGCTAGTAATCGCGGATCAGCATGCCGCGGTGAATATGTACTCAGGCCTTGTACGCACCGCCCGTTCCACCATGGGAATTTCTTTTGCCTGAAATCGTCTCTGTGATAAACCAACGACTTAGTCATCACTGTATTTTGCCACATAGGTCCTCCAAAGGCCCATTAGAACTCTCTTCAGCCTGCTCATGGCTAGATCACCCGGTTCCGGGTCAAACTGTATTTTAAGCTTGCTGTATCAGTTTACTGGCTGACCCATTATGCAAAAGGTATGAGGTTCTGCTTTGCAGATCCATCATTCATTCATTGATGATGGATGTTTCAGCCTTTGACTGATTGCTTGCATCGGGTTTCAGGTTTTCTATGTCACTCCCTTTCTTAAGGTTCTTTTCCCCACTATTACCCTTCACAAGCCTTGGAGGTCTATTTGTCCCTTAACACGGGATTCGTTACAAAGGTTGCAGTACTCGATGGAGAAGACACAAAGAGCCCAACGCAATATGATTGATTAAGCAAGCAAACACAACAGACCTTGACCGTTCCAAACTTGTATGTTGACTAAAGCGAGTTGACTGCATTTTGCCTGCAATTAGGAATAAAAGATGGTATGTCACATAGGACATGCAACTGCGGGCATAGATCCTGTATGAGTGTATTGCCTCACGCACAGAGTAGTACAGTGATTTGTAAGCTCATGAGATCTTGGTTCCTTTTGGACTTCACTGATCTTGGAGGAATAAATATGGTATGGAACACAGTTCATGGCATTGTGTGGGTAGATGTGGTATGAGGTGGTCACAAGTAAGCTTGTGAATTCTTGGTGGTATTGCATGGAATGGTGACACGAAACCTTCTTGTGAAGAGTGGAAATGTGTGTGATGGACCCTTTCATTGGGTCAGTTGTCCCCCTCCGTTTGTTTAGCCGTGCGTCCTCAGACAAAATGATTAAGCTGAGGGGCTGAAAAGTCCTTTAATGTGAATTTTGGCTTGTCCCATTGGATAGATTAGAAGACCCTACACAAGGGTAATATTAGGGCATAATCAACACCCTTATGGATGAATATAGCTCAAATGGGAAACAGCTCGGGTGCAGCTGGCTTGTGCATGGTGAGTACTACACCTCTGCTCATGGGGCCTGATAAGACGCTATACATCTGATCGTGGGGGCTGATAAGACGCACACCCTCACAGCCCACCCTGCGTTCAATGACAAGAAACTGGTGTGTAGGCACCTGACACTCGATCACTTGAAGGTGGTCGGCCTCACACTCTTTCTACCTCCTGTGGCTTTCTTTAGCTTGGGCATCAGGTGAGTACGGTGAACCCTCTGTTCTGTTCTTTGCCCCTCGACTTCCCTCCTCTTCCCTTCTCCCTCACCTGCCCCTCACTTCCTACAGAACTCCACTGCCTACCCCTTCGCTTCCTCCCTCCTATGCACTACATGTAAATGCATACAAACGAGCATTTTTTAGAGAACAGAGAATATAAACTGAAGATCTGAGGAAAAAGGAACAGGAGTATATCTCCCCCTAGACTCTGCCTCCTTTCGTAGCATGCAAGTGGGCCGTTATGGTACACGGGACTGCTGGCAGCTCGCTCAACCGTAATCAACGTGGCTAGCCTTGTACGTGAGAGGCACAGTAAAGGGGGAGCTGCAAGAACAAGTAGAGGGGGTATCCCAAAGAAAGCCCAAGTAAAGATAGCCAAGAAGGGGATATAAAGGATCTATTGTGCATCATGTGCTTGCTTTAGAGGTAAAAAAAAGTGTTTCATTGTTGGACTGGCTCATCCCGAGTGCGCTTCATTGTCTGCAGTAGAGGTAAAGCTGCTTCGATTTTGGATTCACTCATCTGGGTGGAGCCGGGGCCGTTGTTGACCACTTCTCTCAGGGGTATCGTGAACTCTGGGTGACATGGTCCATCAGTCAAATTCATCCTGGGGAGACTATCGGGGTTCAACCTCCTGATGAGTTGGTGAAAGATTCCGACAAAGCAGTCTAGCACTATCATGCTTTTTTCTGTGGAGTGGTATGTAGCGAACATGACAACACAAGCTACATGACAACACGAGCAATGTATCATAGACGTCCCTCTTGAATCCCGCCCCTGCAGGATGGAGCTTACAGGATTTGAAGTCATGGTTGAGCAGAGGGATGGCGGATTGATGCAACTCTCTCTGATCCCAGAAAGCAGTACTAAGGCTTTTGACACTTTTCTTGAGTGGCGATGCCGAGCCTATTACTGGGCAGATGAGGCAAAGTCAAGGCCATCTTCAGGAGGCACGTGAGCATATTCAGAATTTAGTAGGCCCCGGACTACCCTGACAGTAATCATTTAGTATCAGCTGGGACAAAGGCAAATGTTCCTGGGAGGGCTAGATGACTCAATGATTGATTAAGAGGAATAGGGCCCTGGTAGGGAGGGGCTGTGCCTTAATCATGTCCGCATGGTGGAGTCTCACACTCATTGTTGCATTTCTTGGCAGCAGCCATCCAGTTTTTCTTTCATGGTCATGAGAAAGGCTGGCCACAGTTTAACCACTGGGGAATCAGTCACCCACGGACTAACCACAAAGGGCCTGAGATGAGTTGTCAGGGTGGGTTAAAGATGGACAATCGGGCTGGCCACTAGATGGCATTATCAGGATTAGATATGGGCTACTGGACTCAAAGAGCTTGTGGTGCTCGTTTGGTCGTTGATCGTTTTCTTTTCTTTTCTTGAAAATTGAGCAGCCCTGAAAATCGCAAGAGGGAAAGGGAAGAGGCCAGGTAGCCGTCTGCAGGAGAGGAATTCAGTGCCGATGTGGGGCAGTAGTGGTACGACTGCTCGTGTGGCCTGGGAAGAGTAATTGGGAGCTGCTGATCTTGGAAGATCGGAGGGCTGCCAAAATTCTATTCAGAAATTGCTAGGCCCTCTACAGAAAACCACCCTCCAAGCTTTTTACCAAACACTGGCTCTTTAGGACTGCCAGTCCCTTCAATTAGGATAGGTCAGTTGTATCCACCATTTTCAGACCTTTTAGACCCCTGCAAACTTCTCTCGCACCCAGTTTTTCTTTGCTCATGTTGTAGCTCCTACTGCGATGAACGCAGCTCTGAACAATCCTATGAGCACGCACGAAGTTAAAATTCTCCATGGCGGGGCCATGATTTCTCGCACCCAACCATCCTGCAATTAACACAGAGACTGTTGTCCGTGATGATTGATGCACGGCAGAAGTAAATAGTAGTATTGTGTGGACCAGGGCCATGATTTCTGCCCTTTTTGTAGGCATTGATAATTCAATAATCCATGATATTTGTCTGCATTTTGAGAGCTACATGACTGCTTTTGATGGTGTGTGCATGAAGGTTGTCTTTTCAGGATCAGGCAAACTAAAATCGGTTTTCCAAACATAATTGGCTTGTGCAGGCTCGCAAGAAGAAGCTGAAGTTCCAGAGAAGCAAGATTCATGAGTGGGGTCTCGTGGCATTGGAGCCTATCGAGGCTGGGGACTTGGTGATTGAATACGTGGGTGAGCTCATCCGAAGGAAGGTAGGCAAGCTGTTAGTCGTCTCACTGATGGATGCTGGATCAAACGTCAGAAAGATTTGAAAACCACCATCGCTCCCCAATGCTTTTCTGAAATTTGCTATCATGAGGACATCCAATAGCCCATGATTCCGAAGTACAAACACTGTGCGGTCTGTTTGAACCTCAAGGCTCTCCTGATCTCAGGATGTGGATGACCCCTTGTCACTGGTTTATGAGTCCGGCAAGGGCGAAAACTTGATTTATGGCTTGCATGCATCTTCTCATCTTGAATTTTCTCAGGAGTGAAGTAATGGAGGAAAGGTAGATGGAGGGTGCTGTGCTCACAGGCCTTCACCACCTCTCATTCCTAGGTGCATCGTTTCTTTCCCTTCTCCTCCTGCTCCGTCTCCCCTTGCACAACCTCCCCAATCTCTTCTCAGTTCAATCCAATGCTCTTCTCCTACGTTTTGATATGGTCCTAATAATCTTGGATGGTGTGGCATATGCCTAGCGCTCTTGTTCCTTTTCCACCTGCTCGCTCTTGATTGTCTGCTGCTCCTTTTCTGCACTTCCTCTCTCCACAACTTCCTTGCCTCATCTTCGTGAACAGACCAAGGTCACAGGTACACACACTTAGGATGTCATAGTTCTCTTCCTGCATTGACATTCTCCCTCTGCCGTACCTACTCCCATCTAATCCCTTGCTCCTTTTCTCCTTGCTGCCCTAGGCATTTCTTTCCTGGTGGCCCCATTTGCATGACACATAGAGTTTTCAAAAGCATCCTCATCATTTAGTTGATCCAAGTCTTGCCCCTACAGGCAGCATGGATATGCGGATGCCTGATCAGATGGGCAAGAGAGGTGTGGCTGGAAGAAGAGATGTGGAGAGCAAGTCTGGTGAATAAGAACATCAGGCATGTGATTATATGTGGCAAGAGAGGGGGAAGCAGGAGATTGCCTGTGTGGTTGTATGAGAGGAGAGAAAGACAGGGAAGGGAGGGGGATGGCAGCTGGAGTAGCTCAGGAGGGAGATGAAGATAGAGGAAAAGGAGTGCGAGTTGGATGTTGGGAAGGGAAAGGTCCAGAGAGATGAGTTAGTGAAAGTCCAACGAAACAGTCTGGCACAGTCATGTTTATAGCGAACATGGCAACTCACACACAGCAGATTTATAGTGCTCCATGTTGTACTATAGAGGTAAAAGTGTTTCAATATGGGATTTGCTCATCTTTATTGTGCTTTAGTGTATAGAAAAACTGCTCATCTGGGTGGAAAAGTGGCTTTTGTGGTTACAAT